TGTGTGTGTGTGTGTGTGTGTGTGTGTGTGTGTGTGTGTGTCCATCCGTACCTACGCCCATTTATAATACTAACCAATTGGTCAAAGGATGTAGGAAGAGAGGGATGAAGGAGAGAAAGGGTAAAAGGAGGGGGAAGTGGAGATGGACAATCAGAAAGAAGCTGGTTCTTAAGGCGCCTGGATTGAAGTAAAGCAGGAGAAGTGTGTTCACCGGGAAAGGTTCCTGCCAGGTTGCTCCCACGATGGATGGCCTGACAATGGCCACATTCAGGTTTCCACTTTCTTGTTGTACCACTATCTCTCCCAATGCTTTGGTGTAGGTGTAGGTATTGGGCCGGTCCCCAATCAGCTTGGGAGTGATCTCATCAATGATAGAGTCATCTAACCACCTAAAAGCAGAGGGAAAAAAATTGTAGCATCACCCACAGCACAATAGAACCAGAAGAAAACAAGAAATAGCTAATCCAACAAAACTAATACCTTCTGGCTTGAATCTGGGGAGGCAACCATCCCAGGTCACAAGTGCAAGTGTGTATGTTCAAATCATTCCTTTCCTTGTATCTTAGTCTGCTCTGCCCGCGCCCCCCCCCCCCCGTCCCCAGATACTTGATGGTCTCCACGGACATGTAATGTGATGCATCACATGTCACCCCTATCTTTACTTCCAAAGTTACATTAGTGTGTCCACTGAGCATGTGTATGAGTACCAAGCCCATGTCCAAGAGCAAGGGAGGACTGTGCTCCCCAGCACAGGGGCTCCTCCTCCAAGCTGCTTCATTCAGGATACTCCAGTGAGTTGTCTTGTACAAATCTTAAACCTGTAGTTTTTAATTTTTAAAATTTCAATGTCTGAATAAAGCAGCTACAATTGGCAGACATAACCCTAACGTATTCTTCAGATTTGTTCGGAGTCTGAGCTAACAACTTAGTGACTGTGGCGGTTTCCAGTGATTCTGGTGTGGAGTGAGTTCAAAGCTCTGAGGAAGCTACTGAATAGTTCCACTTAGGGGTGACAGGCATTACCAGAGCATCATTAGAAACAGGCCAGAACCATTTCAATAATCCCATGTTTATTGTGACACTTCCCTAAGAGCAGCATTATTGCCACTTTAGTGTTTTTTTTTAGTTATCAGGGCTATTTGGTTAAATCATTGGTGTATTCAGGCAGCCTAAAAACTTTAAACTATGTCCATGTAATTATAAAATATTTAAAAATTGTATTTATCTTGGGTGTATGATTGCAGGGAGTGTGCATTTGCCACAGATGACAACTTGTAGGAGTCAGTTCTCTTCTTCCACCATGTGAGTCCTGGGGATTAAACTCAAGTCATCAGACTTGGTAGGGAGTGCTTTTATCCACTGAGTCATCTTGCCAGTCATGTCCATGCAATTCTTAAACTAACAAGTTTAGTGCATTTGTTCCTATTTTGTAGGAGAAAGCATAACTGTGCTATTTTGATTATAGAAAACATTAGCAGTTTTCCCTCCACTCCTATGACAAATTGTTAAACACCATGTCGGATGCTAAGATCCATCCAGTCATGAGGCTGTATTTTAATCACACTCATTGACAGTGGGGTAGAATACAAAGACTGGCTATAATGGTTCCATTTCCCTTCTTTTGCTTCTATTAATACTGAATATAACCTGGACACACAGATGCCTTTGGGTTGAGTGTGGAAAAGTAGAGCAATTCCTAGAATTGAAACAACTTCAAACACAGAGAAATAGATGATATTAAGTTAGATGAGGACAGGGCTGGGGTGATATCTTAGTGTATAAAGTACTTGCCATGCAAGTGTTGAGTAGTAAAGTTTGGGTCTCAAGAACCCACACATGCCACTTTGCTGGCCTATCTGTAATACCAGCACTGGGGAGGTGGAGTCAGGCTCCCTGGAACAAGCTGTCCAGCTAGACTAACCATATCAGCAAGCTCCAAGTCAGCCAAGAGACTCTGCCATGGTGTATTCTATAGAAGTGATTGAGTAAAGGTAGATACTTGACATGAACTTTGAGCTTCCATGTGCACCCACGTGTATGCATACATCTGTGTGCTTACACATGTAAATGTGCATACATGCACACCATATACACATACACACGTCAAAAAGAATTAAGTGACCACATGGGAACTGGAAGAGTGATAGATAAGGCAGACCCCCCCCACACACACTTGATTCTACTTGTTATCTAAGGGGAATTGGTTTGCATATAACCTATGCATAGCCTCATGTGTACTTTAAACCATCTAAATTACCTATAACACCAAGCATAATGTAAATGCAGTATAAGTGTTTATTGTATTGTTTATGGAGTGTAGCTGGAAGCTTTTCTATGTCTTTCCTGGTCCTGCAGCTGCTTATAAAATGATTCAGAGGCTTGATATTATGATTGTTTGGCCAATGGCTCATGCTTATTGGCTAGCTCTTACATTTAAATTAACCCATTTCTATTAGTTTATATTTTACCATGAGACTTGTGGCTTGTTACCTCACATCTTGCTTCTCTAGCGACTGCTCCTCTCTCTCAACCCTGCCTTCTTTCTTCCTGTATTCATTTTGACTTTCCTGCCTAGCTATATTCTGCCCTGTCATAGGCCCAAGAAACTTTATTCATCAACCAATAAAAACAACACATATTCACAACCTACAGAAGGACATCCTACTCCAATGGAGCAATGACAAAAAACCTGTACAGGCTCAGTAAAGACACAAGTATTCAGATTAGCAGTTGGTTGGTTAAATGTAAAGATGAAAAGTCACAGATACAGAGGGTAGCTGTACCAGTATCATTTCATCTCATTGTAGGTAAGTAGTGAATTGACTAACCTAAGACCATTTCCTGTGCCAATACAGATTACAAAAACCAAGTTTAATGTCAACAGGGCTGCAAGGAAAAACAATTTCAAGAGAACAAGAGAGCCTAAAAACCACAGGGAGTCAATGCTACAACACAAAGAACAGCTGCTCATTGTAGAGCCCTTGGTTATAGCCGAGGGCTCTACACAGTGGGGAAGGTTAGCTCCTCTTAGAGAATATTGGCTGCATAGATTACTAGAGATGTGGGTGTGAGAGCTTACTGCATTTGCAGAAGGCTTTCCCCACTACTCAGTTTTACCTGTGGAGCCCTGTATTCTGTTCTTGCTCCCTATTTTTACTCAGGAAAGATGCTGGTTGTATCTGCTCTAATTCTTGGATGACCATGAGGGCAAGCATGGATATATGCACCTAGAAATGAACCAATGGAACTCTCTCTTCTGTCCCACTCCTCCACCCCTTTTTCATTCTCAGTGCTAGGAACTGAACCCAAGGGTTTACACACACTCCACTCCCAGGCCAGTGGTGGCATTCTGTTTGAATGGAGCAAGCCCATAGTTGATTTTAAAGTAACTTTCTTCTAC